CACCCGGGAGTCCTGGCACTGCCTCACACAGGGCTCGTTGCAGCTGTTGGCCAGCGGGGTGGGGCCGCAGGGACGGCACAGGTCGTAGCAGGACATGGCTGGGGCTGGCAGACCTGGCACAGAGGGCAGGGACAGCACAGGCAGAGCATGAGGCACGGCCTGAGATCCTGCTCAGCAAAAGGAAACATAGACTGGGAGAAAGCACAGTCTGAATGGGGAGGAAGGGAGATTCAACAGCCCTGACCCCAAAGATTTTTCCCTGTAAGGAAAGCCCAGTCCCTCCTCAGTGAAGAAGAGGGGCAGCACAGACAGCAGGAGGGAGACCAAAGTTCTCAGGGAAAGCTGCACAGGGGCAAAGATTTGGTTGGGGGCAGAAGAAAAAGAGAAGAAGGGAAAGGGAAGAGGGAGGCAAAGGCTCCTGCAGCTCACCTGGTTCACCGAGGAGGAGAAGGCAGAGAAGTGGATGAGGGACCTGCAGCTGGAGAGGTTTTATAGAGCCCCGCTCAGCCCCGGGCCCAGACGCGACTTTGCACATGGAATGTATTTACCAACAAGCTCATATTTTATGCAAAGCATCCCAATTAAGTAAACTGGTGGTTGTTTACCTTCCCTGCAACGCCGCCTTTTCATTTCCCTGCTCCTGCCCTGCCCAGTCAGCCTCACTGGCTCCTTTCAAGCAGCAGCATCAGAGGCCAAAATGTGTTCAGGGTATTTTTCAGCCAGAACCGGGCTGGGGTTTCAGCCACCTGGGTGGAGCGGGGCCACATTTCCAGGTGATGTCAGCACCTTCCCCTCCTGAGGCTGCCTTTCAGTCTTTGTAGTAACAAATGCAGTTTTTTTCATTATAAAGCCAGGATTAAAGGGCAGGCTCTGGCAGGGACTGGCCAGAGGTGTTGCTCTCTGTGACTCCAAGGCCTTTTAAGCCTCGTTAGACATCATTTCTTCATCAGAGAGACTGTTTGGTTTTGAACTTTTATCTCATATTGCCTTTAAAACAAATTATCCTGTCTCTTTTGCCTTTTTTGAGTTGCCTGGAGTTCTCCAATCAGCAGAACAAGAACGTTCCAGAAGGAATGATGCTGCTTTCCCATCATTCAGGTATTAGTCATTGTTATCCTGCAGAAACCACTCCCTAACAAGAACATCTTCTGACTTCAAACCTCTTCCTTCTTCCATCCCCTGTGGCCATACCCTCATTTTTCTTTGGCCCTACATCTGACCAGAGAGCTGGGGGAGGGTTGGCCCTGGACACCAAACCTCTCTGTCACTGCCCTCTGCAACTGGGCAGAGGAGAGAAAATACAACAAGGGTTTGTGGGTCGAGATGAGGACTGGGGGAGATCCCTCCCCGAGCACCATCACGGGCAGAACAGGCTCAGGGTGGGACATGAACTGAATTTATTACCAATGGAATCAGAG